AAAAAAAAAAAAAAATGTCAGTCATTAGTAAATATGATTTTAAAATTATTTTCATTAAAAACAATGAGACATTTTCAGGAAGTTGCATGATTTGGGGCATTCTATTGTTTTCATTCTGATTTATATTCTAGCCAGGTTCTGTTCTCCTTAGAACCTGGAACCATTATTTTAACCCTTTGGTGGATGTGTAAAAACATTAGCTTTTGGGCGGCACCTGTGGCTCAAAGAAGTAGGGCACGGACCCCATATACCAGAGGTGGTGGGTTCAAACCCAGCCCCGGCCAAAAACTGCAAAAAAACCCCCATTCTTAGCTTTGTATCTCACCTTCCACCCGCCAGCACTGGAGTCACAGCTGCAGTGTCATCTCCTGGGACTGGAAGCTGCTGCTGCCTTTTTCTGGGTGTTAGTCATTTAGTCTTTTCAGAAAGAAAGTTGCTTTCAGAAAGCAGTTCTGGAAAGCAAATGTCAAATCTGCTCCGCAAGCCCACATATGGAAAGTACTTTCCATTCTGCTGCACCTTCTAATATCCTGCTTAAATTGGCTAACCCTCCTTCTCCAAACCTCCGCGCTAGCTCGCAGACACACCAAGAGAAATATTGAGCAGTGTTACCATCTGGCTGGTTTAACTGAACAAATATAAATTTCTTTTTTATTTTGAAGAACGTTGCCCTCAAGGAAACTTGCTAATCTGAACAATAAATGTGCATCTTGGTCTCAGAGAATTAAAAAGCAAAGAGAATTAATGGTGTAATTCTTTTCTTTCACCTCCAGTTTCTGCCTCCAAATTTTCCATTTGCCATTTAATTCAATTCAATAACTATTTATTGATTTCCTACCATGTATTAGATGCTGGGGTACAGCTAATAAGCCACGTAGGCACTCACCACAGGAATGGGTGAAGATATCCCGTGGCACCTGTCTCCCTGGTATCTTTTTGTGTCCCTTTCGGGGAACCCAAGCAACACAGACACCTCACGGGATGAAACATCCATCACTGCCTCCCCAGTGCCCAGGACACTCCATACTCAATATATACTTATTCAGTGGATGGATGGAAGAGTGTAGGGTTCCATAAAAAGTAAAGCTTGCTTAGTCAGATGTCAATGACATGTAACCATCATGAAAATGAACATTAACTTTCACTCTGCTTTTACTGCCTGATATTTGCCTAATTCTTTTATCACAGGTAGGGTATTAGGGTCTCGGGTAGGTGGGAGAAGGTACTTCTGGGCC